GCCCCCCTCCCTAAATAAACTCCTTCCCGTGAAACCGGGTCGATCTTGTGCTGTCTGTCCAAACCGCATGCTGAAATCTTACACACATCTTTTTAATTTAAGAGAAGTATGTGCCCTAATGGTAATACTGCTAAGCATTAAATAAATGGAAGAAAGTAGGCACAGTTATTTCTAGTCTCCGGAAACTTCATATAAAATCTGCTGCAACTGTGGTTCATGTGTGGCAAGGTCCGTTTCAATTTAGAAGTCAAATTGACAGCATCACTCATCTTGTGCTGATTCTGGAAACAAGAAAGATGCAAAACTCAAAGGTCAGGAATTCTTCCTCTGTGGTTTCAGTTCAGCATGGTTGCTTCCATCCACATTTGATAGAGTCAGAGCTCCAATGAAGAGACTGTAAACATTCATTGGATAAAACTGTGATATGAATCCTTGGTTACCTTTTGAGACCACAGCCTGTTGAGATACTCAAGCTACAAGGCATCTGCCATGGAGAGCTGCATGTAGGCAATAGAAGTAAGCAAACTGAGAGAAGTACGAGAAGTTGCTTATCAATTTGAAACTGAAGCCCCATGTGTCTTGAGACAGAGCTACAGGATATGGTGTTGCCCTGCTGGGTTTGTTGCCTTGGTTCAATCTTCCTTTACTGTATACACATTTCCTTTTTATTGGAATGAGAAGGGGTAGTCTGTGCTGCTGTGTGTCATTTTCTGATTTTACAGGATATGGCAATTAAGAGATTGTCTTGAGTGTCAGAAGAAACTTTGGACATTTGAACAGTGTATGAGTTGTTGCGGAGTATGAGGATCATTGAAGTTAGAATAAATTTATTTTTATCATGGGATTACCATGAGCCTATAGTGACCAGAATCAGAATATAGTAGATTGACTCAAAAAGCTCCCAGATAGTATGATGTCTTTAAGTACTCATCTCCCTCATGTGTGTGTGTGTGTGTGTGTGTGTGTGTGTGTTTTGGGAGAGGAGATTGAGTAGAAGCCATTCTAAATTCCTTATTGGGGGTGAGATTTGAGTGTCTATAAATTCTACCCATTTCCTGTTCTTCGTGTTACACTGTATTGTGGTTGAAACTGATCAGCCACGTTCCTTCTCATGCTGGCATGCCTTCACCATTGTAGGCTAAAACTTTAAATCAACTTAAGTTATATTAGAAGCAGTTACTGTTCAATGATAAGCTATTTTGCTAGCCAGATGTTTTGATATTTTTAATTTTGTTGTTTTTGAAGGTAAAGTTTCTCTGTGTAACCTTCCCTGTTTTCAAAATAGGAATTAGACCAGGCAGACTTCGAACTTAGAGATTTTCCTGGCTTTAGTGTTCTGAAGGCCAACATGCCTGGCTTTGGTTTTGTTTTTATATATTAGCTGATGGTCCTGGAATGTTGGCTTTTGTACAAGTCACACATATGCTGTTGTATTGATCTTTCTCCGCATCTTCAATTTTTAAATTTGACAGAGAGTATATTCTGGCTTTCAAGACAGCATATATTCATGACGTTAATAGTACTTGAAGCTGCTGAGTCATTGGATTGCAGATGTGTGACATTATTCCTACCTGTCATGTTTGTTTTGAATTTTTAAAAGTGAATATTAGTATCTTGCCTCTAAGTATAATTATGCATCTGATATATGCGTATTCCTCATAGTAGTCAGGGCATGACCTCAGAATTCCTGAAGTTGGGATAGTGGATAGTTACTTGCCACCTCGTAAGTACTGGCAGTTGATTCCAATTATTTGCAAGACTAGCAAGAGCACTTCACTGGTAAGCCATCCCTCCTGCCCTGTGTTGCTTATTTATGATCAACATTTATGTTGCTAATATTTCATCCATTTATTTATAACCGTGTAAACATGCATATCTTATTAGTAAGATCTTACTAATGTTTAAACTGGGGCAGTTAAGGTTTCAGGAAGATGAATACAGAAATGTATTCAACCTTAAATCTTTGCAGGAATTTCAGTAAAGACCTCTGAGTTCTTTCTATGTTGTTTGTTTAATTGATTTTTTCAGGGGTGTGAGGGTCTTAATATGTACCTCTGGATGTCCTGTACCTCATTACATGGATTAGGCTGGCATCTAACTCAATGAGATACATCTGCCTCTGGCTCCTGATTGCTGATATTAAAGGCATGAACAAGCCAAGCAGTGGTGGCGAACGCCTTTAATCCCAGCACCTGGGAGGCAGAGGCAGGCGGATTTCTGAGTTCGAGGTCAGTCTGGTCTACAGAGTGAGTTCCAGGACAGCCAGGGCTACACAGAGAAACCCTGTCTCGAAAAACCAAAAAAAAAAAAAAAAGGCATGAGCATACCCAGTTTACTCATATTTTTTGTTGTTCGTAATTATTCAAATCATTTCTCTGATATGTACTCACTACTGTTGTTGTTTTTTGCCTCTCTCTCTCTCTCTCTCTCTCTCTCTGTTAGTAGGCATTTCTCTCGCAAGACTATAACTTATTTAAAGGACACAGAAATACCAAAGGTCACCATCTTCTTCAATTTCTTTCTAAAATTACTTGGCAATTCCATTATAACATCCATTATGGAATAGGTGTTGGAAGTATCAGAATTATAAGAATATATTGTTGATGTAGTATATGTTTACAGTGCTGCCAGTAACAACCTTTTTGTTGTACACATGTTTGGGATATTTTAGGATACAATAACCTTTGATGATGTGCAAGTGGACTTCACTTTGGAAGAGTGGGCTTTGTTGGATCCTTCTCAGAAGAGTCTTTACAAAGATGTGATGCTGGAGACCTACTGGAACCTCACTGCTATAGGTATGACAGTACATATTCTTCTTTTACTTTTTAAAATAAGGGACAACTTTTTTTTGTTATTGGGTCTTTATTGTAGCTTCAATTGAGAATGAGGAAAAATGAGGTGAATAAATCAGGCATGGTTCTAAGGTTCAGTAAAGATACTAACTTAAATTTTGCCTAATTTCCAATAATATAGCATACATTTTCTGATACTATATTTTAGGTTACAATTTGGAAGACCATAATATTGAAGAACATTTTCAAAGTTCTAGAAGACATGGAAGGTAATTTTCATGTATAAGCTAATACAATTGTACCTTTGAAGAAATTTTTACTGTGTCATAGAAGTTTTTAAAAAAGCAACGTTTTAAAAAAGCAGTGCTTTAAGTTATGTTAATGATTATTAAATTTTCACAAACTATGTGTATTAGTCAGGATTTTACTGCTGTGGATAGACACTATGACCAAAGCAACTCTTATAACAACAACATTTAATTGGGGCTGGCTTACAAGTTCAGAGGTTCAGTCCAGATTGGAGCATGGCAGTGTCCAGGCAGGCATGGTGCAGGCAGACCTGAGAGTTCCACATCTTCATCAGATGGCTGCTAACAGAATACTGACTTCCAGGCAGCTAGGATGAGGGTCTTAAAGCCCACAGCCACAGTGACACACCTACTCCAACAAGACTCCACCTCCGAATAGTGCCACTCCCTAGGCCAAGCATATTCAAACCACAAGCTCATGTATCCCAATGTCAGGTATCTGATTTGTGTTTGCACATCATTCCTCTAAGAAAGAATTCAAGCAAACTATGCCTTAGCAGACATCACTGTTTGAATCATAGCCCCATTAGATCTATGCTGCAAAACTGCCAATTTGTTTGGTCTTATAATACTCAGATATTGTAATTGAATAGGTAATAAGTATATATCCAAAACCTTCTAATAATCAAAAAGTCCATATTAAAGCCGGTATTACTCTTATGCCTGGAGTAATGTTACAAAGTTGAGTGAGACAGGCAGTTTATGAGAGTCAAGAATGTTGTTGTGGAGAAAATTTAATCCCTATACTACATGACTATGGGGAACAAAAAGGCAAAACTGTGGGAATGCAATGTGGAAACCTTTCATTTGTTATTCTTTCAATAAATATATCATGTGTCACAGTGGATACAAGCCATGTGGGCATAGAGATATTAAAAGAAGTAATGTACTTCTCTCTCCAAAAATAATTAGAAGATATCTAGTGGTGTAAGAGTCTGTGGTTGGCCAAAGAACAATACCCCAGACTCATAATATGCAAAATCAGAGTGTTTATTCTTCAAAAATCTAGCATGAAGGGGTCTACCATTCATCAGGATGGAAGACAGAGATGTGAGTTTCACAGGCTTAATTTAAAGGCAATTTGGGAGATTTCAGGGAGGAGTAGGTGACATTTATCCTGATTGGTTGTCTGTATTTCCAGGGGTATGCATGTCTCTGTGACTGGCTAGGGCTCCGGGGACTTTCCAGGGGGAACCTAGGAACTGTTGCTGATTCACATGACTATTTGTTTTTGCCTCCAGCCAGATGATGAGGTAGCTCCTTATTGCCAATGGAAGCTACGGTTTTTTCAGTAACTGACTTGCCTAGATTTGTCCAGTTTGGGGAGCAGAAACTTAGGCCTGGTCTTGTAAACTGTTGGTTTGGAGCCTGTCATGGAGTTTGCCTGACTTAGTCCTCTTAGAAGTCCCCACTTTGAGTAGATTTTCTTAATGTGATTCTGATTTACAATTAATTAGTTTCCAAGTTCATTGGAAATACAATCACAAACTCACACTGCAGAAGATCCCTGTAAGCACTAGAAATGTGGACATTCTTCTGTCTGTCCTAGTTCACTTTGCAAATATAGTATGACTCACATTATAGGAAACTTTATGAATGTAATCAGTGTGGTAAGATTCTGAGTTCTTACTGTTCTCTTCAAATTTGTGAAAACCATCATAGAGAAAAAAGATGCTATAAATGTAAGCCATGTAATAAATGCTCTTACTATCATAGGTATCTTCAAAGATGCAGAACAACCCATAATGAAGAGATACATTAGACAAAGTGATAAAATGTTAAGGTCTGATTCTTCTTTACAATTAGACCAGATTGTAAAATTAATTCATTCAGATAAAAAGATTAATTGGTATAATGAATGTGGTAAAGGTTTCACATATGCCGATTATCTTTGCAGACCTGAAAGAAGTCTTACTGGAGAGAAACCCTATGAAGACATTAAATATGGTGAAGCCTTTGCACATTACAGTAGTCTCCAAATACGTAAAAGAATTCCTACTGGAGAGAAACTCTATGAATGTAATCCATGTGGTAAAGCCTTTGCATATCACTACCATCTTCGAATACATAAAGGAATACATACTGCAGGGAAACTCTACAAATGTATTCAATGTGGTAAAGCTTTTTCAGAACCTAATACTCTCCAAAGACATAAAAGAACCCATTCAGAAGAGGAAGCCTATGAGTGTCATCAATGTGGTAAAGCCTTTGCACATCATCATATTCTTCAAAATCATGAAAAAACTCATATTGGAGAGAAAACTTACAAATGTAAGGAATGTGATAAAGCCTTTTCACAACACCGTTATATGCAAATACATAAAAGAATACACACTGGAGAGAAACCTTATGAATGTAATCAGTGTGATAAAGCCTTTGTATGTCTCAGCAGTCTCCGAGTACATGAAAGAACACATACTAGAAAGAAACTCTACAAATGTAATCAATGTGGTAAAGACTTTGCAAGTCAGAGTGATGTTAAAAGACATAAAAGAACACATACTGGAGAGAAACCCTACAAATGTAATCAATGTGGTAAAGACTTTGCAAGTCAGAGTCACCTTAAAAGACATAAAAGAACACACACTGGAGAGAAGCCCTATGAATGTAATCAATGTGGTAAAGCATTTTCAGACCACCATGCTCTCCGAATACATGAAAGAACACATACTGGAGAGAAACCCTTTGAATGTAACCAGTGTGGTAAAACTTTTAAACTACACAGTCAACTCCGAATACATAAAAGAACACACACTGGAGAAAAACCCCATGAATGTAATCAATGTGGTAAAACCTTTGCATGTCCCAGTAGTTTCCAAAAACATAAAAGAATACATACTGGAGAGAAACCCTATGAATGCAATCAGTGTGTTAAAGCCTTTGCATATCACAGTAGTCTCCGAATACATGAAAGAACACATACTGGAGAAAAACCCTTCAGATGTAATCAATGTGGTAAAATCTTTTCACAGCCCAATAGTCTCCGAATACATAAAAGAACACATACTGGGGAGAAACCCTATGAATGTAATAAATGTGGTAAAGCCTTTCCATATGACAGTAGTCTCCGAGTGCATAAAAGAACACATACCGGAGTGAAGCCTTATGAATGTAACCAATGTGGCAAAGCCTTTGGATATCACAGTCATCTTCAGAGACATGAAAGAACACATGCTGGAGAGAAACCTTGTTAACATAAGCAATGTGGTAAAGCCTTTGTATGTCACAGTAATCTTCAAAGGCATAAATGAATTCATACTGGATAGAAACCTCAAAAATGTATTTAATATGGTGAAGGTTTTGCATGATTTTAGAGTCTTCATCATCATGAAAGTACACATACTGGAGAGAAATTCTTTGAATGTAGACAATGTGGTAAAGTCTTTGTGTTATGGGGCCCACTTAGATCCAACACAACTGAAAAATCAGGTTAATGCTGATGACAGTTTATTATAATCAAGCCATTACTGATCAATCAGGGCCACAGAACATACTCAGGAGCTAAACTTTAACCCTGAGCCAGAATGGTACCAGACTTTAAAGCTTGAAAACCACAAACATTTGTGCCAAGCTACAGCAATGATTTTTCACCAATCAGATTTAGGGCTAGAGTATTCCTCATGTAGTTGATCTTTGTCAACTGATGCAGAATGTAAGTTTTTCAGTCTAAAAATTATATCCATTTTCTCTTTGTGGTTAGGAACAGGCTTTGTGTTTTGGGGAACAAAAGATGCATAACAAAAGCTGTTGTTAAGAACAGTCAATATGTTTTGGAAAATAAGGACCATGGTTAGGAACAGTCATGATGTTTGGGGGAACAAAGATGAATAATGGAAGCTTCTCAGTGATTAGGAAGTCTCCAGCACCCTTATGTTTTGGGAATGTGAATTTAGTTTCACTATATGATTAAATGAAATCTGATAACAAAATGGCTGTACTTAGGACAATTTTTTTATACTTGTTCACAGCATTTGCATATTATAGTCATATTTGAATACATAAAAGAGAGAAACTCTATAAATGGAGTTCAGTATTAGGAAGCCTTTTCTCAGAACAGTTATTCTCAAATATATAAAAGATCGTATCCTGGTGAGAAACCCTACAAATGTATTCAAGATGATAAAACCTTTTCATAACACAGTTATTTACTATTAGATAAAAGAACACGTACTGGAGAGAAACCCTATGAATGTAAGCAATGTGATAAAGCCTGTACATGTAGCAGTAGTTCATGTAGCAGAAATCATGAGAAAAAGCCATACTGCAAAGAAACCCTTTAAATGTAGTCAGTGTGGTATAGCTTTGCATTTCATGGTATCAACATTTATTCAATATCTAAACTCTTAGTGTGTAATCAATCTGTTAAAGGATTCACACATCATAGTGTTTAGAGACCTGAAAGAATTCATGCTGTAGGGGATCTCTAAGGATTTTATAAGAACTTTAGCCAACATACTTCAATTGCACAAGATTCTGGAGAAAACATCTGACAAATATCAACAATTTAAGCATTATGATGTTTCTCTTTATTTTGTTTGTAGTTGCAAATTCATATGCACAATAGCAGTATGAATCTAAATGACAAGATAGCCCTTTTAGATTTCACAATTCTCTTCAATTACATGAAATAACTCATCCAGATGTAAAAGTTTATGAGTGTGTATTAGTGCCTTTTCTGTTGCTGTAATAAAACATAATGCCAAGGGCAACTTATAAAATAGTTTACTTTGACTTATGGTTCCAGAGGACTATGGGATCACCATGAACGTGGCAGTACAACAAGTGTCACACATGACAGCTAAAAGAGGAGACTTATACCTCACATCCTTAATATGCAGCATGAGTTAGAGTCAGACCTAGAAATAGTGTGCAGCTCTAAACTCTCAAGCTGACCACAAGTGATATATTTCCTTCATCAGGGCAGCATCTTAAGTCTTCCCCCCAAAATAATACCAACTGAGCAGTATTGATTTCTTTAATTTCACGCCTATGCGCTTGTGTTCTGATACCATTCATGATGAAGAAAAACTAGGTAACCTTTTAGGTGCCTTAACATCCGAGTTAAAGGAATGAATGCTTACATAAAAAACATTCATGAATAAAAATTATTTGTTTAAAATTTTCATTTCATTTTAATTATGTGATCTCTCCTCTCTCTCCCTCCCTCCCTCCCTCCCTCCCTCCCTCCCTCCCTCCCTCCCTCCCTTCTCCCCCTCTTTCTTTCTCTCTGTGTTTGTGTGCGTGTGTCTTGATTCCCTGGGAATCAAGCAGACATTACAGGGATTTGTCAAAAACATGACCTTAACTGCTTGGCTACGTCTTTAACTGTAAATATTTTAAAGACTTTATAAATCACTGTGATGCTGGGAAATAAGAAAGAACTCATACAAGAGAAATATACTTTTCAAGAAAGGGTGTCTGTGAAAGGATGGTGGGTTGTTGTTCCTCATTTTGTTTTTCATGTTTTCACAAATTCTTTTGCGGTGATGTTTGGCTTGGATGCCAGTAATTAGTCAAGGTTGTATTTGAACTCTTGACTTTCATGTACCCACCTTCTGGGTACAAGTCCAAGAGTAGTAGATGTATCCCCAGTGTGTCCTGTTTTGTCAACTCTTTTTAAAAAATGATGTTGGGATTGAAATGTTTAATAGAAGAGAATATAAGAAACACTAAAGCCTCATATGTGTATCCAAAATAGCATTTTCATCTATGTGTTAGAGATGTAGTGAAGGAGGATAATCAGCAATCAACTGTATATCTCACAATGTAGTTTAATGTGCTGTGGATATGTATATGTTACTTGAAATCTATGCTTCCTGTTCCCAGTAGTTACCATTTGGCACTTCATTTTGAAGTACCACCTTCTCATCGAATTATCTAGAGATCCTGTATAATTCAACAGCCATGAGATTTTTTAAAAAATCAATCTCCCTCTCCCTCTCCCTCTTTCTTTCTCTCTCTCTCTCTCATTGTGTGTGTCTGTGTAAAATGCAATTATGGATTTTTGGGCCATGACAGATAGGTGAAGAGTACAAGACAACTTTGTGGTGTCTAGTCTACTTTGGCCATCAGGATCAGGATGCCAACTTTGAACACAACAGATTTCCCACTGAGCCATCTCACTGATGTTCAAGTAAGATTACTTGAAACAATATATCAGTAAAATATTGTCTTCTTTTTCAGATAATAAGCATATTGTCATTTAAGGATGGAGGACAACAGGAAAAAATGAATAATAAATCCTATTTGCAAATGAAAATGATATACTGCTCTTTTTTGGGGAATGTGTTCATTTATTCTGAGTAGTAAACACTTGTGCATAACATTTTCTCAGGACTACAAGTGAATGCTAGAGAATGGTCTCAGTGGGTAAAGTTGCTTGCTGCTAAAGCTAATGGCCTGAATTTAATGTTTGGGAGACTCATAGTAGTCCTACAAATTGTTCTCTTATTTCTATACTTGGGCTGTAGCATATGTATACCCACATGCCAGCTCATACATAAATGATTTTTAAACCCAAACAACTCCCTGGATTTTGTCTCTAGAACTCACATAGGTGAAGTAGATAGTAGACACCAATAAGTTTTCTCCCTGCCACATAAGCACCATGAGGCAAGTGTATGCACACAAGCACATTTCAAACATTTTTAAATGGATGAAATTAACAATGCAAAGAAAATAACCCAATTATTCAAAACGTGAAATGACTTGCCAGTTTAAATGATTACTGTAGAATTTCAAGAAATATTACTGTTCATCCAATCAATGATGATTTCTTTTCAAATCTTATTTTATCCTTTATTCTCTAGTTCAAAGATATGTCATTTTTAAAATTATGAGCTAGTCTTAGAGGTGCATCCCTGTAATCCCAGCTCCTGGGAGACAGTGGCAGGCCAATTTCTCTGAATTTGAGGCTACATTGGTTTACATAGTTCTAGGACAGCCATAGCAATGTAGAGACGTCCTGCCTCAAAAAATTCCAAATGGAATGAGTATATCTTGAATTAATGGGAATTATCCTAATATAATCTGACTGGTTTTAATATACTTTTTGTTATTTTTACTCACCTTAGGAGAATTATGCTAACAATGAAGATTAGCATTGTGGAGAGTTTTCACAGAAGAAATGCAGTGAACCCTTCAGCAAGCATTTAGAAGGAACTTTCTCACTGTCAAATGATAGGAGATAGAAGAATAATGGAACATCCACATTCTTTCTCTTATGTACTGTATTGAAGCATCTCCTGTCAGTAAACATCTGATGCCCTATTAGTTGAGGCAGGAAAAAGAAGGTGGGACATCTGATAGAGATGGGAACTCTACATGTTAGGCATATGTGGGAGATTCCACCTGGGCTTGGAGGAAACAGACACATGAAACTGAGGAGAGGTAGCTACCCATGTGTCAAACCGACTACAATAAAGAGGTTGTATAAGTTATAAGATAATTAGGGAATGAGCCAAAGCTTGTGGCCTAGACATTTATTCTGGGAACAAAGAGGCTGCCTAATATGGGGCTGAGAATCCGAAGTTAAGATCCTAGCTTAGAGTCTGAGAACTCCTGGGTGGTTTTAGCTAAAGAGTAGGAAACTCCAGAGGCTGTGAGGAAGAGGGCTTTAAAAACAAACAAACAAACAAACAAACAAACAAACAAACAAACAAGCAATTCTTCGTAGAAAAGCTGGCTCTTCTCCTGGCTCCTCAATTCAATTCCTAGTCACAATTCTTTTAGCTAGAGGCCCAGGAGCTAACTCAGCTGGCTGCCTGCAGTCTCTCAGCCGGAGCTTTAGTGTACTTCCCAGGCTGGGCAGAGGGACTGAATAGTCTGGGTTCCTGAAAAGCCAAAGGCTGCCTGTGGGAAAAGCCTGCAATGGCCTGGAACCTCTCCCTAAGGCCTGGAGCCACCTTCCAAGAGTGGGTGGAAGTCAAAGGGCAAACAGCTGCTCCAGGCCATAAAACTAGCAAGGGCTGCCTACTAGACCAATCCGAGGGGGCAGAGCTAGCCACCCTAGACACGTGCCTGCCTGAGGAATCAGTAAATACACACAAGGACAAAAGGAACATTTCCCAGCCTGTGGCATGACTGAGGAGGCCCAAACTTCTGAATAGAGAAGCAAGCCGTGCCTCAATTTAGATTTTAGGCACAACTTTTTAAACTAGCTGCCCCTGAGCTAAGTCAGCTGGTAGCCTGTAGTCTCTCTCAGGCCATAGGTATAAGTTTGAAAACAGTAAAGTAGATAGAAATATTTAGTTGAAAGTAATCAAAATATTTCAAGAGAGATACATAATATTAAAAAGATTTCCCCAGAAAAAAGATTTTAGAGAAAATTCAATACACAAAAAGACACTAAGTTTAGAAAATAATGAGAGAAATAAATGCCCATAGAAATAAAGTCTCCAAAGAAATGAAAGAGAATGAAAAAATGTCCATAATAAAGAGAGAGATAGAAAAATAAAGTTTCCAAAGGATTGAGAGATTTAAAAGGGAACTATTTTTCATATTAAAAATGGAAAACAGAGTAGAAGAAGGCACTTGGGCTCCATATAGTTTTGTTTTGACTGTCCACATAAAAATAATATGTTCAGTAATGATTACAACTTTATATGTCCTTTTAAAAAGAGATCAGAATAAAGGAAACTTAGAAAAGGAAAAGACTAAAATATCAAATGCTAGCTTATAGGCCATAGAACAGAGCTTAGAGGATTTGTTAAATAAGAATAAAAAATTTTCAAAAGAATCCACTCTTGAACCTACAACCACAGCAGAAAATATAGTTCTAGATGAAGAAAATCCCACAAAGACCGGAGGAATTAAAATGGCAGCCCATAAAGATGCAACACTCTGAGTTAAGAATCCAGATTCTACTCAATGATGCTATCTTAGAGCAGTGTTATACAATAGACTATATGTTTCATTTTTCAGACTTTGCAAAATTAAGATATGCCAATGAACAAACTGCTTTAAGTTTTGAAAAGGCTGAGTTTGAGACTGCTCATTTACTAGAGCTGATGACAGTCTTGGAAATGTCTTTGATGATTAAAGCTGACAATACTCCAGCACATGTGTCCAATAAGATGCAACAGTTTTTTAGACCTTATGGTATAAGACATGTTGATGGCATATTGTGCAATCCTACTGGACAAGCAAGCAATTATAGAGAAATCTAATGGACTTCAATGGAAATACTCACAGAATAGAAAGAGGCTAAGGAATCTCCCAGAGATGGAGTAAATAATGCTTTATTGACTTTAAATTTTTTAAGTGCCAATGAGACAGATAGTGCAGCTGTAATGATAACCTCAGAATGAAAGGCAGGAACTGTGTTGCATTGGAGAGGTTTTGTATTTGCTTACACAGGAGACAAAAAACAAGATTTTTTTCAAGATTAATAAAAATCAGATTTGACATTCCAGGTCGTATGCTCTTTCCTTGTCCTGGCAATTACTTCGAGCTGTCAATGGCAGTGCCTCTGAGCCACCTCTTGGAGGTCTCCAATTGGACTTTATAACTCCTCAGTTACAACTCTGTTATCTGGGTAACCTGTCTGCCTGTAGGAATAAGGATATTCTAAAGAGATGTTTATAGCTCTCCCTTTGGCTAATATCTAGTAAAACAGTAGATCCCATAAAATTAAGATTTCCTCTGGATCTCATTCTGGGAGAAGACTGATTCATCCAGATAATAACTTATCTGCTGAGTAAACATTTACCTCATTATCTGAATACTTTGCAGGAGAAAAAGCTGAGAATCAGGGAAGGATTTATAGATGTGAAAGAAATTATATACCTTAGTTACATTACTTAGTTGTGTATATCTCTTGGCTTTTATCTAAACCGTTTAGGACCCCAAGGATAGATTAGTTACCTCATACCTTTATCCATGTTACAAATTAGTCACACTGAATAAATATGTTAATATGTTTTCAATTTTCATTAATAATTTGCTTTTTTCTTTTCTATTGTTTTCTTTTTTATTTTAAAGAATAGTCTCTCTAAGAATCTCTGGGTGGCAAGGCACTCAGTATATAGACTAGGCTGTTCATGCAGATCAGAGAAATCTGCCCACTTTTCCTTCAGAGTGCCTGAATTATAGGTGGGTATGTCACAACTAGGTAATTCAGTTCTT